TTTAATTTTACTAGAATAGCTCCAAACAACTCTTTAAATAGTCAATATTTTATTTCAGATTAACTGTAAGTAATCGCTCGCAGTTTCTATATCAGATGTAGTAAACAGAAATCTAATATTTTCCCAATAATTGGTTTTAGTTATCTGTATGTGACTGTTGATTTAGTGATTATCACGGTGATATTAAGGATGGTCGCTCATTGTTTTGCAGTTGTTTTAGAAATAATTTATAATTACTAATGTTTTTTAAACTGTAGGCGAGGAGGCAGAGTTTTAAATGTATTGTTACTTTACCCAAAAGTATGCATCAAAAATTTACACAACTTAAAAAAAATATTTGTGTACAATGTATATTTTTAGGAAAACTAGCAAAAAAAAATTTCAAAAATTTATGAGCATTGCAACCGTACTGTACTTCCTTAAAACACAAAGATATGCTGGATATTGCGCTGGAAAGAATACAAGATGAGTACAATGCAGTTGATGAATTAAATGAAATTGTATATGTTAACATCTTAATTTATTAAGATGTAATTTATTAAATAGTATTTAGAAATAGTAACCAAGACTGCATAACCCATTGTTTACAAATTTCTTTCACTAAAAATTGCAATAAGGGAAACTTCAGAGCGACTATTATTTGTATAAAGACGTTGCTCTATTCTAGTAAATCAACGCTTCAGATACTTATAGGAGAATCTCTTATAGGAGATTTTGCAATTGGTTTTAATATTTCTCATGTATACATATATTGTATTTAAAATTCTAAAACAAAGTAGTAAATAGCTAACCCGACATATTTCCAATATATTAATTTATAGATTTGAGAACATTATATCCATAGTTGATAATTTGATACATCAAATGAACAAACTGATTGTTTATTTGATCAATTAAAAATTAAAATAAATTATTTAATTAGAAATATGAACATGATTAAAGTAAGCCTTTTAAAAGCATTAAAATGGTTTCTAATATCACTTTTTTAATGTATATTCATAACTTCGAGTATATATACCTTAAATAGACGGAATGTTTGACGTGAGTAGCTTGGAGTTGCATTTGATATATCATTTTATATTATCCTCAAAGTTCATTTAACTCTTCATCGTGGACAATTAAACAAATATTTCACAGGGTTGTATTCCAAGTACCTCTTATTTCACACTCTAATATAAATGGTTTTATAAAAGAAAAATTTAAGTTTATCTTTTATGAGGAATAAAATAATATTTTATAAACAAAGCATAATACTGAACTGACTAACATTTATTTATTTTTGTACTGACTGATTATGTGAAGGTACAAAGAAGTCAGCTTTAAAAGTAGATATACATATATTTAAATTCCTAAACAAAAAGAAACAACTAACCAGAAACATTTCTAATATACCAGTTAATAGACGAGATTTGATAAATTTTGAAAAATTTTAATTTAGTATATAAAAATTTCATAAATATGTAACTCTAATATTGCATAGAAAAGATAAAGACTATATCATTATATATAGTATAAAAATTTTATATATTGTATTAGTACTAAAGCTATGTTTAGACAAAATACATAGAATACATACAAAATTTCGAAATATACTAAAGGTTCGATAAGTCTAAGTGAAAACATAATATAATGCATCACAATTATTTCATTCCAAATATTTTTAATTTCAAAATTCTTTTTTTTTATTTGCATGATAACTGCCATTATCGATAACTATGCTATGACAGCTGAAAATATTCAAACACTCCATATTTGAGGGATAGTTTGTTTCTTTCATTCAAGGACTATTTTTCATAAATTATTTATATAGCCTGTTTTGTTTCAGTCTCCTACTTCTATGTGCGTAGGATCTTGCATTCATCGAAATGCCTTAGTATTCATATTTCTCAACGATTCTAATGTCACTTTATTCAGGTAATCTTTTTTATGACTTCTCAAGCAACTTACATTCTTTTTGAAGCTCATACTCTTCGATTCTCCGATATTTGGTAGTAACCTTCAAAGGTTAGAGTATTTATATAGTGTGTTAATCATTAGATCAATCATTCTTGGCGAGTCTGAAATTATAGCGGGGTGTAAGTTAATTCCAACAGATAAAAAATGATTGAAGTCATCTATTGCTATGACGCCAACATTTGTACGAGGTCTGCTATATATATTTCCGGCCTAATAATGAAAATGTGAATATTTATTATCAAAAATTGATATTCTCTTCGATCTAAGCAAGTTTTAATTAAGACCCACCCCAACCTTCATCCGTCCCGTATCCCAAATAAGCCTTCTTCATCTTACTCTACGCTTATCCTAACATAATTATCCATATTTGTAATTCCATATTTGTAATTTTCAGCTCCATAGATGACAGCAACAAAAATTATGCTTACTTTGGAAATGCCTCCTCTTCTTCAATGAGCCGCTGCATATGTATATGTCCTTATTGAATATTTATATTTTTCAATTACTTCTGGATTTTTAGTATGTTTTTTTAGTTTCATCTTGGTCTGATTATAGTTTTAGTGTTGAAGACGCCGAGATTTGATAAGTGCAATATATAAAGGACTATCAAACAAAATGTTTTTAATAGAAACCATCGTAACCCTTTTTGAAATATCCTTCTAAATGAAAATCAATAAATTCTAACAAAATTTTTTGAAAAAGGAATATTTCTTTTTACTTTAAAGCTTCTGAACTGTAATCGATATTATTGGTAACCATTTCAGTCTAAATTATTATTCGATTTCTTGGTACTATTTCACAACAAACCGTTTTCGATTTCTTGCTATAATTTAACAATAAATCGTTATTGATTTCTGGTTACCATTAGAATATATTGTTATCGATTACTTGCTACTATTTCAAGATTTTCCATTTAATTTCAGTTATTGTGGTTATTGTAACAAAACGTCAACCTGCTTTCTAAACTTTGTTTGGAGAGGTGAACGACGCTCGATCGTCGAAGAATACGGATAGTTCGGGATGTTGACACGATCGTTCTTGGAACCATTATGAGTAGTAGTTGTTAAAAATATATATAATAGTAAAACTTTTATATTATTTGTATCAATTTATTGCATTTTAAGTTATAATTAAAATTATATATACAGACGAGAATATAAATAATAAAAAATATTTCATTACGGATATAACAAACAATATCTTATAGTGACCAAATCATTCTAAAAATATATTTGCGGATCTTGTAATCCAGTTTGGCGTGTATATTTAGCATTTTCGAGGTTTTATAAATCTCTATTAAAATGCACATACAATATTTTTGCATTTACACACCTAAATGTGTAATTCTATAGCCACATTATTTAACTTTAAACTAAAAATATTCCGATAACTACAAAAACAAATCAAATTATAAATAATGAAAATCATGGCTGCAGCCTAGTTCGAGTATTTGATGTGCTCATAAGCATAGGGTCCACTACTGCTGCTACCAGTATTGTTTAATTGCTGTGCTAGATGCATCGGGGGTAAGTAAATTGGTGGCTTGCGATCGATGAGAGAACTGCCAACTGATGAGGATGGTGGTGTGAGGGATGAGTGCTGATGCTGCTGCATTCCGGACAACGAAGATATCTGTGAGTGTGACATAGAGCGCAGACCTGTACAGAGAAGAAATATAGAGTTAGAAAAAATTTTAATGGAAATAAAAAAAATTTCAAAGGCCAATCCAAAAGTAAACAATTTAAAAAAAAACACACACATTGCGCGAAAGGTCAGATTTCTTCTTTTGTTTTATTGAGTCTATATTTTATGCTCAGAACACTGAACACTACGATCAACAAATTTTTTTTATTTTCTTATTTTCAACTGGTACTAAATCAACTGTGTCGGCTGAATCAAATGAAACTCACGCATTCACAAGTTCACACATGTTTCACTGAAGCACAATTCTTCATTGTTGATGATCGTAAATTTTCACTGCACCCATCTCTCCTGCTTATGTGCATGTAGTACTGGGTACTATAAATTCGATCAATTTCAACTTATGTACTCGTAAAAATTATAATGCAACCCTTTTAATTGCCTTTCGAAACCAAATGCAGCTCATAAAACGCAACTTTTTTGATTGACACGATCACCCGTACTTACCGTTGTCAATGTTGTAAGAGGCGCCTCCAGTGGTGCTGCTGCTGTATGGATAGCCAGCAGCCACAATGGATGCAGTAGCATAATCTAAGCCACCGCTGTTGTTTGAGCTTTGTAGTACCGCAGCTGCACTTGACGCAGTTGATGACGGTGATATGGCAGAAGAGGATGAGGACACTGTTGGCAAAGCGGATGAAGCTACTGTATGCGCTAATGGTGGTGTGGTGCAATTATTTTGTAGACTTGAGCTTGCTGCAGCTATATTTGAATATTGAGGTAAAGCAGTTGGAGTGTGTGCAGCATGTGAGTTCCAAGCATCTACAAAACCTGTACCGGCACCATTGCCTGTGCTGTAATCATAAGAGCCATACGGCTGCGTAGCATAAAAATTTCCACTGTCCTATAAAGATTAACGTTTGTAAAAAAATTAAAATGAAAAATGGAGCATATCTTAATAATAAATTAACTATTTAAATATTTAAGGTAATAAAAAACTCCTGAGGGCCTTATTATGTAGAGTGTCATGGGCTCGTCAAAATTAGCTCTTTTGGGGTATCACGAAAATGCATGTTATGCAGAGTGTCATAGAAATTTTAATAATTTGCTCCTAAAAGATAGAAATGTTGACATTTATGACTGAACAATACTGCTTTGCGTAAGTGACGAGGCACGGATAGCCTCGACACTCATGATCAAATTTCAACCGATATTTTGTTTTTTCTGTTATTCTCAATTTTATAATTTGCATTGAAAACAAAAACAATAACGAGCCCATGACACTCTACACAACATGGCTCTAAGCTGTTCTTAGGCTTTAGAATCCAGCAGCATAAGATCTAATGCAATGTATGAAGTTGTAGTCAATATGCTACGAATACAAAGTCTACCTCAACGCTAACCCTGACCATATAGAACAAAGATTGTCTAATGAATTATATATTACTCTATTATATATTATACATATATACTATTATAATATTCATTTGCTCGAGTTATTCGATTTAGTGTCAGTTAGTAACTCTACTCTATATTCTGTGTTAATCTCAAGGTGTCTCATTGGGAAAATGATGTGATATTAGTGCTTATTTGAATTAATTGGTTAATTCAAACCAATTAGTTAACCTTTATAATAAGTGTTACACTGGTTAAGTGTTTTTTGGAATAGTTACTTATTTTTTTGAAGAGTTCCACTGGTGTAAATAATTGATAATTAAATTAAAAAAAAAAATTAACACAATTCAAAATAGTGTAGTAAGGATTTTGAAAAAAATTGTTAATATAGTTTTATATATATAGATTTTTGAAGTTATTTGAAATAAAGGAATATGACGAATGTATCGAACGAGTATGCTGATGAGCTAGCAAGAGTTGGCATGTCTTCTATAAAACCTCGCAGGTAAATCCTTGTTCCCGCTAGTCACAGATGATAATTAGTAAACGACGACTTTTTGCGACAGGTGAATAGAATTGAGATAATATTTCTTCAATAGCCGGATCGAGAACAACATAGCGTACATAATCAAGATATTGAACCTCTGTCTTAATTTATAGTAGTAAATCGGAAGTATTTAAGATATCGGTTCTAGCAAAACACTGGACTATAAGACAGCATGGAGTTAGATTTAACTGGTACACCTGTTGTGTCTCTGTTCAGACTAATCCAGATCCAAACTTAAGCATTTTGATGTCCCATTCTCTAACATGCTCACCGATATTTTCAACATTAATATTGGTCACACACTTGCATTTATCAATGCGGCCGGCTGGTTATAATATGTACAATAGTACATTAATACAATAATAGTACAACTTTCTACAACTTTTGCAATTTTTTCTTACGACAAATGTTGGATCAAAACGGCTTTTTTAGCTAACTGAAAAGAATTTAATCCTTCTTCCAATTCTCCTACCTCCGCACCCGCCTTCGCTGCAAGCACAAATTATATTGTGAGTATTCGTAAAAAAGTAAGTTCTTCTATTTTTCATTTAGTTTTTTTTATTTCTCTATCCCACCCTATTTCCCTACATATATCTATTTGGATTGTATTATAAAGTTCAATCTAAACACCTTGAATTATTTCCCTAAATACACCTATTTGAAGTGTATTATCAAGTTCAATCAAGTGTATAAATATAATTTTACATTAAAATAAATATGAACTTTGTATTAAATGAAATTACCAGATTTGGATCATAAGCCGCTGCAGTATAAAACCCATTTACTGATGTATAGGATTTCACTTTAACTTTCGAACGATAGCCACGTGGACGTCGTCGTAGGCTGCCCTCATCTTCAAACATGTAAGCGGAATTTTGTTCAATAGTCCAATAGTTGCCTTTGCCCGGTTTTCCGACGCCCATATCTTTTGGCAACTTCTTGAAGCATTCATTTAAGCTTAGATTATGACGCACAGAATTCTTCCAACCAATATATGGGCCACGAAAAAATTCAAATCTGAAAAGTGTAAATACATTAATGAAATATTGATGTGCATATGTGTATAAAATATACATATATATACATATGTATATAGATTAGCAACTATAAAAAAATTCATATAAATTTGAAAAAAAAAACAATAAAAATCAGCTGAGTTTTGTCATCAATTCCGAAGCCTCATCAAAAGTTTCTGCCTACGTAATGAGAATGACACTGCAAACACGAGACCTTCATGTGATCATCGATCACGACAAAGGATTGTGCGAAAAAAAACAATATAAATTCTACAAAATTTATGTCTAAGCATAAATTGATATATAAAAAGCTATAAAATTAAAAATAATATAGATTTATATCTACTTATATCGACTGGGTGCATTTATACCCATAATTTAAAAAAAAAATTCAAATCCCGTTGGCAACAGTCGTTTTACTGGCGCTTCGATCATATGGGAAAGTAAACCTACTCGGTATGTGAATTTGATATTTGAGGCACGTGAAGTCGATTTTAGTTTATATATCGAATGTCTTTGCACTGAAGGAAGTTGAGTTATTCTTCATAAGATTAATTATTTTGTACTTACTCATAATAAAAATTACATTTAACTCCACTTCTGTATTTTTATCGAAGTAAATTCAACGGAATATCTTTATAGTTTTTTATTAAATAGTTTCAAAGTTAAAACAATAAATGTTTTAGTAAAATATTGTTACTCTTTTATATAAATATTTTTTCTTTAATAAATATTTTTTTTCAAGATATTTTTAATCCAGAGCAATAGTATAATTGGTATAAGTACAATATATTAAATTAATCAATTCATTTTTTTTTTTGTGATGATAAAAAAGTGTAAGAAATATTAAAAAGAATGATAAAAAAATTTATTTTATTTATTCTCCTATATTAAGTAATAAAATAAATATATCCTACACATTGAATTTTAACAGAATTATCTAACTGGAATATACGCACCCCATTCTAAAGCTAATTAGACAGCTGTTTACAAAAAGAATAAATGATTTCAGCTTAATTAAAATTAAAATTTGATTTGCCACTAGAGGAACACCCTCAAAGAATAATGAATTATGTCTCCATTGCTGTAGAATATAGCAGTTAACAAACTGTTCCTCTTACTATTAAATGAGAGGTGCAAGATTGTGAAGTATGCCGACAATATCTCATTAAATTCTCCATATATCAAATCTATTCTATCCTGTGTTACATTTCTAAACGAGATAAGTAGATAACGTATCAATCGTTTAGATATCTGGACATAGTTACTACCACGGCAACTGTATAGGAAATGAACTTGCCCTGAAAGCCATAGCTATTAACTTTATCAGTTATTATTCAGGTATTTATATTCAAATCAATTCCTGTCTATAATACTTTTCACTACTGAAAATGAAACAAATTAATGAGACGAATGGAGAGAACTTTG